TTTTTTTGTGGAACTGGTGTTTGAATTCAAGGATTTGCACTTGCAAAGCAGGAGCTCAACCCCTGAGCCACACCTCCAGTCCATTTTGCTCCGGTTGTTTTGGAGATGGGGTCTCATGATCTGTTTGCCTGGGTTGGCCTCCAATCTCATTCCTCCTAATCTTAGCCTCTTGGTAGTTAGGATTACAGGTGTAGACCACCAGTGCCTGGCTTCATTGTTTTTTGAGATAGGATCCTACTGTGTATCCCAGGTGGCTTGAACTTGCATTCCTCCTGCTTCAGTCTTCTGATTGCCAAGATTATAGACCTGTGCCACCATGCCAAGCACAAAAGTTTTATGTTTTAATAACAGTATATTATTTTAAAAACTTTTATTAAAGAAATGTTCAAACATGTTCAAATAGAGAGACTATATTATCATGTTATCAGTCTTGTTTCATCATTTCTGCATTTTAAATGTTGGCAGATCCCAAGAATTCTATTTTTTATTGTTTCTAACAAACAACAATTTTTTTTTTTGAGATGGGGTCTTTATTATGTTGACCAGGCTGGCCTCACACTCCTGGGCTCAAGAAGTCCTCTTCCCTCAGCATCCCAAGTAGCTGGGACTGTGGGAACATGCCACTTCAAATAAGAGCTCCAAAGAATTTTCTAACAGAGTGTTTGCCTAGCATGTGCAAAGCCCTGGGTTAGATTCTTAGCAATACACAGAGGAAAAAAAAAACAAACATTATCACAGTAGCAGTACCACTAGTAATATAAATACTAATTCCTTCCTGTCCTTTCATAGCCAGTCCACATTCAGATTTCCCAGTTGTCTCAAAAATGTGTTTTTGCAGTTGGCTTGTTTGTATTGGGATATACACAAGATCCACACAGTTTATTTGGTAATAATGTCTTCTTTTTTCTGGTGGTAGAATATTTTGCTGTCTTCATTTAGCTTATTGTTTCCTTGTAATGTTTAACTTTTCCTGTATTCCCTGAATTTCCTGTGAACTGGCAGTTATTACTAGATGCTTGATTAGATTTTGGTTCAGTTTTGTGGGTAGGCGAGAAGACTTCTCGGTGGCACTATCCACTTTCTTTTGCATCCTGGTATCTTGTCTGGTTACTCCATTTTTAGTGATGTAAGATCAGTGGAGTCATATTAGAGCGATCGCTTCTTTATAGGTATGATCACAACTGTCCTGGCCGTTCGACAGCTGGCTGCCATGTCCTCTTCTTTCCCCATATCTCAGGCTGCTCAGGACAATATATGTCCTGCAGTATTTCTCACTCATACATCACACTGGAGTTTTTGTTATTGGCTTTCTAAGTAACTTGAGCTAGTGATGAATTTTAGCATTCTAAGGTTTGTTTATTATTTGTTTGTTTATTTATTTTGCAGTACTAGGGTTTGAACTCAGGTCTCATACTTCCTAGGCAGGTGCTCTATCACTTAAGCCACTTGGCCAGCCCCTTTTTTTTTCTTTTTTGTCACGAGTTTTTTTAGGGCCTGGGCTGGCATCAAACTGTAATCCTCCTGATATTTGCTTCCTGAGTAGCTAGAATTACAGGTGTGAGACACCAGTGCCCAGCCAGGTTTTAGAGTTTCAACTTGAGGTGAGGCAGCATCCCTTCTTTGGTGTAACTTGTCTCTTGCCTGGCAGGTCTGTGCGAGAACGCGAGAATCATCATCGAAAAAGTGCCAGCTCCTGTGATGTCTCATCCAGCCCTTCCCTGCCGAGCCGTACACTGCCCACTGAGGAAGTGAGGAGCCAGGCTTCTGATGACAGCTCCCTGGGCAAGAGTGCTAATATCTTAATGATCCCACACCCCCACCTGCATCAGTATGAAGTCAGCAGCTCCTTGGGCTACACCAGTACACGAGGTCAGAGTGCACAGCCGGGGCTGTGCAGATTCTTTCCTATAGTAGGGGATAGGAGTGGCAGGGAACGGTTGGGGTGGAGTATAAGTCCCATAAGTTAATTATTTTCATCCCAGTGCAATGGGTATGAATTGCATTAGATGTTAGGTAAGTGTGTATTAGAATACTTTTGTCTCTAACCTTTCTTACCCATCTCACACTGTAACTGTATACTTTTCCATATGCTAATATAGAGCTTTTCTTAGGCCTATGGTCAAATGGTTTATTTCCTTGTTATTTCCACTTGTGCCATACCTATAATAGTCTGTGTCCTGTTCAATGGCCTTCCATTTTCATGGTTTCTGCATCCATGGATTCAACCAACTGTGAATGGAAAATATTAGGAAAAAAGCTTGCCTTTACTGAACACGTATAGACTTTTTTTCTTATTATTGCCTAAACAATACAGTATAGCAGCTGTTTATACTACTTTAGATATTTTAAGTAATCTAGGGATGGTGTAAAGTGTATATGTTATATGGAAGTACTGCACCAATCTATGAATGGAGTTTGATATCCACAGAGATTCCTGGAACCAATCTCCACCAATACTGATGGACAATGGATGGCCATATTCTTTTTCTTTTTTTTTTTTTTTTTTTGGTGTAGTGCTAGCATTTGAAGCCAGGGCCTCACACATGCTGGGCAAGTGCTCTCCCACTGAAATACATAGAATAAAATAGAATCTTTTATTCTCAGTTGCCTGCTAAGATGTCTTGCATTAAGGTACACAGGTGGTGATCTTTCTGTATCTTATCTTGTCGATCCAACAACAGCTGCAACCAAAGTTTACAGGCCTCTCCTGATTTTTTAAAAAAGATTTTACATTTTGAAATAAATGTGGATCCATGGGAAACTACAAAAGGTGCACAAGGAGGTGGTAACTTTTTACATAGTTACAGTCATTAAAACCAGAAAGTCAACTTTGGTACAATCTACAGATCTTATTCAGTTTTACCGTACTCATTTGTGTATTGCATGTGCATACTTCTGTGTAATTTTATCACATGTAGATTCATGTGGCTGCCACTACAATTAAGATACAGAACAGTTCCATCGCCACCAGCCTCCCTCCTGCTACCCCTTTATAGCCACCTCTCCCCGCAACTAATCATCGTCCTCCATAATTTCATTACTCAAGAATGTGACACAGATGGGAAGAATACCCCTCCCGATTTATGAGCACAGGCTTAGGAAGGTTGTGTGTGCACACAGTTGCCTCTGGAAGGATTCCCAATGGGCCGGGACTGTTTTTCCTGATTCAGGGACATTAGTAGGAGAAGCTGTTGGCTCCTGGGACCTCAGCAGTAGGGAACAGAACACTTTTATCAGTTAGATACCACACATGCTATACTAGGGCTTATGAAAATTTTTTACTTCTGATTTTTTTTTGTTAGTTCAAAGTATAGAAAGGAAATTCCAAAAGTGAAATTTTATATTCAAAAGAATTTTAATATATTAGAAAATTTCTAGGTTAGCTGTTCCCCTCTTTTTGGAAAAGTTTGCCTAATAGTTACTCTCATCTTGCTGAAAATATTCTTGCTAGAAGGGACTAGAACAAAAAATAAATGAAACTAAATAATAGGCCTTTAAAAACTTCTTATTCTAAAAGTCAGATCTTCTCTGGGAAGATGGTATTGCTCTTAATCCAAGTAACTTTGACACGTATCTTTTAAAATTATCTAAATAGTAGAATTGATTTTAATGTCTTTTAGTAATATTTGGGAATTTATTGGAAAATCCAAAAAGCAGTTCATTGGAATATTATAAAGCAACTCAATCTATGGGCTCTTAGCTTCCTGTTTCTGTTATATTTAGGGATCCTCACCCCCCTACCAACCCAATGGAACATAAGAAACATTTCCCCTACTTGTATGTTTGACTGACTTTGTCCCTTAGTTCTATTTTTCATCCTTTTTTAAAGTATGTACTCATGTCTCTGTTTGTTAATTGGGTTTTCTTCTTTTACTTCCACAATAATTACCTAGACCATATTCTTTTTTGTTTGGTATATCAGAGCACCAATTCACAAATTTGCAGTGAAAGATAGACCCTTTTTGTATGATTATTTGTAGCCCAGGCTGGCCTTGAACTCTCAATCCTCCTGCTCCTACCTCCTGAGTGCTAAGATTACAGGTTTACACCACCATACCTGGCAAGAGATATAGCTTTCATGGCAATTTGAATATTCTCTTCTTGAATGCAAATCAGCTTAAGGAACGAAATAGTATGATGTATAAGGTTCTTTGGTCGGCATTGTATAGCTTATGATGAATTGATTCCTTGGTGCTGCTTTCTAATCTGGGTAGTGGCTCACCAAACTTAGGATGCACAAGGGGAGTTGGTTGTGGGTTTCACCTCTTTGATCCTCTCAGGATCTCCAGCACTATGACAGGCTGCTGGGTAGGACAGATCGAGCTGAAATATTACATTTCCTTGCCTAATCAAGGCTGGATGCATCCATTGTTTTTTTATTAGGTTGTTGGTTTAGGTTTTTGAGACAGGGTCTCATTGCCCAGACTGGCCTGGAACTCCCTAGGTAGCCTAGCCTGGCCTCAAACTTGGCATTTCTCCTACCTCTGCCTCCCAGGTACTCCCAGATACCAACCATGCCTGGTGGGGATGCATTCATTTCTTTATTCCTTTTTCCCCAAGAGTATTTCTTCATTTTAACACAATAACATCTGATTACTTACACATATCTCAGTCCTCTGAGTCAACGGGAGGATCTACTCAGTCATTGAGGTGCCCAGGTTCCTTCTGTTGTAGGGTGCTATGGTGTTCAGCCCGGTCCCCAGAGCTGCCATGAGAGAGGAAATGAGAATGGAGAATTCCCAGGCCTGGAATGGGGCATGTTACCTCTGTTTTCTGTCGCTGTGGAACTAAGTCATTTGCCTCCACTGCAGAGGGGCGGGGAGTTCTAGTCTTGTGTGTCTAAAGGGGAAATCAAATGGGTTTAGTGAACAAGCCCCTTTGTGCTCTCTGGCCGCCAAGTATCTATATGCTAGTCCTTCCCACCTAGGGCACATACTCACTCCCTCCCCAAGGGAGGAACGCAAGTCCCATCGCAAAGTTACTGTGTACAGCTCACTGTCCAGGGTCCCCGAGTGATGTGTTGTTCTCCCAGAGCTGGGTTTGGCCAGTTATTTAGGACCAAACAACTTCCTGTCAAATACTTAAAAAGTAAACAACTAGCTGGGTACCGGTGGCTCATGCCTGTAATCCTAGCTTCTTGGGAGGCTGAGATCAGGATAATTGCAGTTTGAGGCCAGCCCGGACAAATAGTTTGCAAGACCCAATCTTGAGAATAACCAGAGCAAAATGCTCAAGTGGTAGAGTAACTGCTTTGCAAGTATGAAGTCAGGAGGGTCAAGGTTCCAGACTGTCCCAGGCAAAAAGTTACTGAGACCCCATCTCAACAAATGAGCTGGGTGTGGTAGTTCATACCTGTTGTCCTGGCTGAATAGGAGGCTGTAGGTAGGTAGACTGAGGTCCAGTCTGGCTTGGGTGAAAACTCGAGACCCTATCTAAAAAAGTAACCAAGGCTGGGTGCGGTGATTCAAGCCGATATTCCAGCTATTCAGAGACAGAGATCAGGAGGATCACTGTTCAAAGCAGTCCCAGGCAAATAGTTTTTGAGACCCTATCTCAGAAATAACCCACACAAAAAGAAGGGCTGGCGGAGTAGCTCAAGTGGTAGAATGCCTGCCTAGAAAGTGTGAGGCCCTGAGTTCAAACCCCAATACCAAAAAAAAAAAAAAAAATTCCTATCTAGCAGGAGGCACAGATTGGGAGGATTATGGTTCAAGGCCAAACCTGGCAAAAAGTTGATGAGACCCCATCTTCACTGATGGCTGGGCACAGTGGCATACTCTTGTCATCCTGGCTACACGGGAAGCACTACTAGGAGAATCGAGGTCCAGGTCAGCCTGGGCATAAAATGAGCCCCTGTCTTAAAAATAAGCAACATAAACGATGTGGTCAAGTGACTCAAGTGGTAGAGCATTTGCCTAGAAGTTTGAGGCCCTGAGTTCAAACCCTAGTACAACCAAGTAAAAAAAAAAAAACAACAAAGCAAATCCTAAATAGCAAAAAGGGCCGAAGACATGGCTTATGTGGCAGAGCACTTGTCTAGCAACCCCAAGGTGGTACTCCGGTACCGCCAAAGGAAAAAAAATAAACTATTTCAAGTGTGTTTTATTTCATTATTGTCTGACAGTTCTACTCATTGTTCACTTCCTGACATTTATGTCAGGCATCCTTGTCATCCTTGGCCTGTCAGTCCGCTAGGTTCTGATTTCATTGTGACTTTGTCTTTTTTCAACTCCGTGATGACTGGCAGATGTCCTGGAGAACATGATGGAGCCACCCCAGCGAGACTCCAGTGCTCCCGGGAGGTTCCACGTGGGCAGTGCAGAGTCCATGCTCCATGTCCGACCTGGTGGATACACGCCCCAGCGAGCACTCATTAACCCTTTTGCTCCCTCACGGATGCCCATGAAGCTCACATCCAACAGAAGGCGTTGGATGCACACCTTTCCTGTGGGTAAGTCGTCTGCTCAGCAAAGAACCCTGGACTAGCCCTGGTCCATAGCACTAGTCAGCCATGTGTCCTCGGTCAAGTGTCTCATCTTCTCTGAACTTCTCTGGCTATGTCAGTAACATGTAGATAACCATGCTTGCTTTATTTAACTCGGGTTCTCAGGAGGATCCTTGAAGACATTGGGAAAAGGCTTTGAAACAAACTGTGTTAACTGAAGACCTTCTTATTATTCTTCTTCCTTCTTCCTCCTTCTTTCTTCTTCTTCTTTTTTTTTTCTGTTTGAATAGGACTATGCACTATGCTTTTACTACCTGCTTTTTCCCCTAAGACTTAAAGTCCCTTGTCCTCGTCCATTCCTTCTTCTCTTGGCTGCCTTTTGAACATCTTGGCTACACAATTATGTTACTTCATCTTTTCTCAGGGGTCTCTGACAAGTGAAGGAAAAAATTATTTTTAATTCATTATTTTTCCTACTTTGTCATTTTTTATCTGTTCTGTTCTCAAGGAGATGACAGTAAGGTTTTAGAGAGCTGTAGCTAAAATTAAACTCAGCTTAATGGGCTCTTGCTGGGTGAGGAAGGAACAGATGCATTAAACTCCAGGGTTTTTTTTTCCCATAAGACCATCCTGCCGAATACTTAGAAATGTCTGGCTATTTTCCTTGCACTTGTTTTTCCTGTTTAAAATGAATCTGGTTTTTGGCTATAATTGGGGTCATTCCCGCACCTTTTGTTCCCTTAACTCTGCTATAAGTATACTAGCTTCTTTCTGCCATCTTTCTCTTCATTCTTATCCTCACTGGCTTCCTTTGCGATCTCTTAAGAGAACTGTCTTTCGTGACCTTCAGCTCTTTCTGCTTCTGTGATTTTTCTCCTCCCATCCTTCATGCACAGGTTACTAAAATAATAGTCTCCAAACTCTGTTGACTTTGCACATCTTTTCGCCCAGTCCACCCTCTAATAACTCTGGCCCTTTACCAGGCAACCCAACTTCCTGTGTCCTCATTCCCATCCTGAGAAGCTTTTTTATTTATCACCTAATCTCACAGTCTCCTGAATACCTTTTGCCTCTTTCACTTTAGCGATTTCACTGGTGTTTCTTCCACCCACTTATTCTCTTCTCCAACCCCTCTTCTGAACCTTAACACTTACCTCTAAAACTTTGCTTCTGGGAAGCTTGTTTTAGTAGACTTCACTAATTCTGATCTCTCTCTTACTTTGTCTCTTTTTGCACTTGCACATCTCTTGCTTCTTAGAGTCACATTTGTTATTTTCTTAAGTATTAACAGAATCATTTGATGTTTCATTCATGTTTCCTGCTCGTTTAGTTTGAATTAACTATCTTATATTTGTGTATTTCTTTATGTTATCTCCAGTGGTATGCATGAGACAGAGGCTTCTAAAGTATTCTGAACAGATTGGACAGGATGATAAGCAGGAGGTTCCCCCTATAGGATGGGTCCTGCTTGGAGGAGGAGGTATCCTCCGTAGGAGCCAGAGGGTCCCTTGTGTAATGTTCCTCTGTGGCTTGTTCTTTGTAGAATCTCTCCAACACCTATATCTCAGCAGTTGGAAGGAAGAATGATTGCAGTTATGCGCACAACATGAGCTATGAGGTGGGAATGATGTTCAGTGGTTCTTTTTTTGGATAGGACCATCTGGAGAAGCCATCCAGATCCATCACCAAACCAGGCAGAATATGGTGGAGCTGCAGGGCAGCGGGCAGAGGGACCCAACTCACTCCTCTGCAGAGCTCTTGGAGTTAGCGTATCATGAAGCTGCTGGAAGGTGAGCGTGTGCACAGGACTCTGGAAGGTAACCCAAGAACGCTCTTCAGGACAATGTGCAGAACTGACTGCTGACAAATGTCACATTTATAAGACCTGAAAAGAGAACGTGAAATCAGGGCCTTCTTTATCAGCCAGCATCATTCCTTTCCCTGGGCAAAGTACAAAGCAAACAACCTGACATTTTTGTCTATGATATTACCCAGGCCCTGCTTTTAAGTTTGTCTGGAGGTTACACTTTGTAAATCTCAAACATAGGTTTCTTTCAAGCTCATTCAAGGATGAAAATGAGAGAAAGGCTTTTGAGTTTGGAGTGCTGAGATGGGTGACTCATGCTGTAGTTTTGGGCAGACTCCCTGTGACTTTTGTCCTCTTGGTCATTGAGGAATCCTACTGTTGAGTTTTAAAAGTTAAAGCTGGAAGTAACAGAAATAAAGAGCTGTGCTTACAGTAACAAACTCTTTGAATCACAGCTCTGAACATGTTTCAGGGCATCTTAAGAGAGTCAGTATAAGAAGAAAGTCATTTAAGCCTTGACAGACATGAGTCCAGGCAACACTTGGACTTGCTGCTCCTGCATTGCTGTAGAAAACACTTTGCAAGAGCCAACTTTGCCCTTCTTTCAGACACCTTGATATCTCATGTGATGGAAGAGGGCTCTGGGCAGGGCAAGGCTCTTTAGCAGATTGACTCTGGTACATCTAATCAAATACCTCATATTTTTTTCCTTATTAGTAAGGTGGAGGTGTAAGACAGAAAGGACAGGTGGTCTAGCATGGCAGTGGGAAACAGCCAGGGTGCCAGGGAGAAGGCCAGAGCTGGCACACAAACAAAGCACCATCACCCGATGGTTTGGGAGAGGGATCTCAAGGTTTGCCAGTCTGTGTGGCTGAACATTCAGTCCTGTTTTCCCTGAGCCCCTCCCCGCTAGGATGCAGGGTGAGCAGGGAAAAGAAGTGCTGATCTGCATTAAGCCAGGTGGCTGGGCTCTGTTCTCTGCAGGCACAGCACTTCCCGCCAGCCTGGTGATGGCGTGTCCTTCATGAACTTGAGTGGAACGGAAGAGCTTTCTGTCAGCCTGGTCAGCAACAGTGGTGCAGGTAACTCATCCAAGAGGTAAAAGAGTTGGGATGTTCAGAGTAGGTTCATATTTAGAAGCGACCCAAGGGCCAGAAAAGCAGGGTCACATCTATTTTGGGATCATTTCAGCACAATTTGGGGCGACCTATTTAGAAGCACTGCTGTATAATGCATGGAATTATAAATGGGCTACACATTACATTTTAGCTGAGAACACGTTGGTCAAATCACATTCACCATCGCTCTGTCAGGGAGTCGTGATTGAAGGCAGTTGGGTGTTGAGGGCAGCACAAGGGACAGAGCAGGAATGGTCTCTGACACCCTCATAAATGTAGTCAGGAGAGGCTCAGAAAGGAATGGGGTGTGGTTCCAGTTATAACCTCAAGAGAGGAGAAGGGTGACATGGTTGCTTCAAGAAGTCCAACTCAGCTTGAAGGGATAGAATTTGGTTGGGAAGAGAGTTAGAAGGTAAAGATTCCAAGGTCAAGTGAAGGGTGGGTAGAGTATGGACTTGGTTTTTACTCTTGCTGGAAGCACTTTTGTATCTATTACATCATTTGACCATCCCAACAGAGCATAAGTTACTAAATACATTTTACACATGGCCTGTTTAATGGCCACAGATGTAGACATATTAAACTAATCTCTTTTCCCCAGCAGCCAGGTATCCTGATTCATACTTCTGTCCTCATTTGACCACTCTGTTCCAAGTGCCTTTTAAGGGCTTAGGGAACATGGGTTTGCACAGATGGAGGCAGTTTCTGCAGAACCTCAGAGGACAGGTATTACACAAAATGAGTGTGGAAGCACTAAAACAACAGAGTGGGGCCACTATGTCATGCCTTAGTGTTCTAGAACCCACATTTCTAAAACTAGCCTTAAGGCAGTGTGGAAGATGAAGTTGCATAAAATTGGTTAATGATATCGTCCTTCATTCATTGATAGATTGATCTAGCAATATCCCTAGGGGCCTGTGGCTAAGGCGGGGTCACTGGGTGGGATGTGAGAGAATCCCACAATGACTATAAGCTCATTCAGTTCATTCATTCATTTTAAATTAGAAAACAAATAA